GTTGTCCAGCATCGAGCGCGAAGGTGAATATGATGTGGATGTGGATGCTCTAAGTTTCGTGTAAGTTGAGAAGGCTGTTTAAAATCTGCAAGGATGCAAAGCAGTAGAAGCTGACATGACAGTCTTCTACGAGAAGATTTTGAGGAAGGAGGTAGAAGTTTGGTGAGTAGAGTGACTGAGAGAGATAGATACTAACTAGGTAGTTAGTGTATGGGAATCGGAGGTAATCCGGTGAGATTGGTGTAGATGGTGAATAATTTGAGTCAATGAGAAAGGAGAGATATTTTTGTGTGTGTCAGTCAGCATTTCGCTATGTTCTACTGTATGTCTGTGAACTATCGGGAGAAGTGGTTTTTGAGTTTTGATTGTTCTTGTGATATTTTTGATTAGTTTTTTCGTTTTTGCTTTTCTTTCTTTCTTTTTTGGGGTTTTGTTAAATTTTTGTCTCCTGTTTTTTTTTCTCGTCGCTGGGTGAATTCTTTTTGTTGTTTGTTTTCTATAGTTTTTTTGTAGTTTTGACTGATGTTCCTTTTTTGTTGCGTGATTTTTTTATTTGTCTGCCTTCCGTTGTGTGTTTTTTTCTTGTAACGTTTTTTTTTGTTGCTTGCTGTTGCTGTGTTTTTGGGTATATCGCCTTTTGTTTTACTGCTTTTACTCGTGTGAATTTTGATACTGATTTTCTTTGTCTTTCGGGTGTTCCTTTTTTTTTTTGAAGAGCGTCTTCTACTTGTGTCTTGTTTCTTGCTTCTGTTGCGGCTCTTAAATTTTTGTCTCTTACCCTGATGTTAATTAGTTCGTGTTCGACAAATTGAAGGTTTCGCCAGGGCTCATTTATATTGAGTATGTTGCCGTGAGATGGGTTGGTCATGGTTTTGTCTTTATTTCAAGTTTTCGCAGACTCCTTGATGATCTTATTTTAACCACTTTTAGATGAAGTTGTAGTGTGGGAATACTTTCTATTTCCGCAGTTTTCGGATTACTTGTTCGTTGTTATTTTCAATACTTGCCTTGTTTCTTACCTCTGTTTAAAGGAAACAATGGTCCATTTCAGAAAACGTCTACGGAAGAGGCATGGACTATCTCTACAGGGACTACCTTCGTTTTCATCCTACCGGTTTCAGAGTGAGCCCGCCCTAGATGCTGTCCATGAGAGCAGAGGCGTTATGTTTAGAAATTAGGTGTGGGTAATAATCCATGATCATCGGAACAAACCTTGGTGAAAATGGATACCCTAGTCATGTTCGCATGAAATGTAAATGATTGTAATGAGTAAAATCAAAACGTTGAATTGCCTATAATGACCCAGTTTTCATCCTCACTGCATTCAGAGTAATGAGATTTCAGCACTAATCGAGAAGATAAGAATTGAAATAAACCTTCTTTGCAGCTCTCTTGGTCCAACTATAAAGCTCAAATTATTCATTTACTAAATCCAAAGCAAGTAATTATCCTGCTCGTATTATCTGAAACTGCACTTTTGAATTCAAATGAACTTGCAGAAACAATCGCAAGTAAGCAGTTATGAGCTGATCTATCTGTGCAGAAAGACAGTAATATTAACTTTTCACTATATTGGTGGCTGTGTTCTAACTTTTTTCTGTAATCTCCAGTTTCTTTATCTATCTTTCACTGATTTATATTTATTCCTCAGTCTCTAACACATGAATTTGTTAGACAATTTCTTGCTTACTTCCTGATTCTAGCACCTTTTATTGTTTTATTTTTGTACATATACCCTCCTTACGATTATTTTTACCATTATCTTGTCTCTTTATTTTCTTGTTGTTGTGTTACTTTTGAACTGGGCCATTGACTGAAACAGTTCAATGTTGAACAGTTGTACTAAATAGTGAGAAGACAGTGAGGAATAGACAAATTTCGGAAACAACAAATTTATAATGAACAATAAAAAATATGAATTATTTTCGTATGTAAAAAAGGCTAACTAATATTAATAAGAAAAACAGTGATTATCAGCTGAGTTAGTCATGTATTTTGTCATATGTTTCCATTGATTTTGTTTGTATAAAGATCCATAATCTGTTAATTGTATATCATACGTTAGATAAAAATAGATACTGCGAAATGTCGAAATGAGTGAATGGTTTATTAGGGAAAGGGAACTAGTATATTGTGAAAAACCTAACAATTAACAATGCGTTTTTTTCAAAAACAGGTTATCTTAGACTTCGGTTTAAAAAGCAAACAAAAAATCAGCAAAATTACTCAAGAAAAATCAATTTTTTTCCATAAATAACACCACTCAAAGTGAACTGAAAAAATAGTAACGTTAACAGCTATAGATTGTCAAAATGTAGATTTTTTCTACTTGAAAACAGTAAAACTCTGAGGAGCGAAGAACCTCTGTTGGATGTCTCTATCTTCGATGAATCTGTTGAATGAAAAAAATTAGTTTGTTTTTTATTGATAAGCAAAGTTCGTTATTTTGCTACACACATGTCTCTACCGTGGATTACAACAAGAATTATGTATAAGTCTTTCAATCTAAAATAGAAACGCTTACTAACTCACTTGTTTGTGCATTTCGTTGAGAGCACTCGATATATGTATGTTGACTCAACTGAGGTCTTCAAAAAACAAACCCATTTTAGGACAATACCTGGAATGGTAATTTTTTGGTTTGAGCACTTGATTTAAACGGATTCTGGATTCGAATTTCTCCCCATGTAGTTTGACTTCGGCAACCGGTTAGTATCATGGATTACAGCTTGTTGAACAGATCTTTGTCTGGTAGATGACCTATATTAATTATCCAGAAAGTTAATGTTCCCTAATAACCCAGTAACTAGAACAACCAGAACTCACTTCATGCATACAGACGATAAACTGCCATACCTCATGAACATAATTGACAGGGCTGTTAAATCTAACCCCAGCACTATCACTTGGTTATACTTTAGTATGCCCGTGTTAGTACCACAGGTCTTGCCTGTGCTTTCCACAAATCAGTCATCAACTGAGCTGTTAACAAGGTGAGTTATTTGCAAGCCTCTTACTAGCAGCCTTTCTTCTTTTTTCCCAGCACAATAGGAGACGAATCTGTTGATTATTTACCTTTTTATTATTCTTGCTGAGTCATGTATATATGCAACATGCTCGGAATGCAACATATTTCACAAAAGTAAAACAATAGATTTCATGCATAGAAAACGGATGTATGCAAAATAATAACTCATGGCTAACATTCGGGCATTTTGGACCCATAAAATGTTCTAAAACAAAGCTCTCGAGCTGGTTTACTCAGTAACACTAATGAAGAAGTCGTAAATAGAATGCTTTTTAAAACATTACAACCTGTCATACATGTACGAGATTCTAATTTTCCTTTCTTTAGTCTGTATTGACCAACCTTTGCCATAGGTCTAACCTAGTCAGAATCATTCAATAACTATATGGTGACGCATGCAGTACTTAACTCACCTCAAAGCTGACGCAAAACCATGTTCAGCAAAATGTGAAAGCATTTTTCGAGGTCTTTCTCTTGGCTATAAATATTGTCAATTAAATTGCAGTGGCTATGCATTTTACTACCAGAGGAAAACAGTTTAAACTTAGGGTAACTTGTTGCTTGACACAGTTTGAGAAAATTAGTTTAATGATTAGCTACTAGCATAGTTTGATACAATAAATCTTGGTTAACTTTAGTATCAGATCTTGCCTTCCGTTTCAACAGGGCAATGAAAAAAACAAGGCAATCAGTTTTAAACTGTTGCCTCCGATTTCATATGACGTTTCATCTAACAGAAGTCTGGAGACGTAATGATCAACAATATAAAACTTTGGAATTGCTAAGCTAACAGTTGGCACATAAACTATGGGTATTAATGATTTAAGATATGTAAGTAAATTCCAGTGTTCACTACCTGTATTAGCCACTTAATGTTCAGTTTATAGGGAGCACAAAATCTTGGACGAAGGTAAATACCTTGAAAAAAAGTCAACGTGTAACATAGAGCAAACAACTTCATGCTGTCTATTCTCGAATACTTTCCGAATTATATCAATCATTTTGAAACGTGGCTACAAGATTTGAATCACTACCACTAAACACCATACTCTAATCCAGCACAAACCGCCTGCTCCAATTTATTACCTTCGGTGTTGTTATTATGAACATCATTCATACGCCATAATCATATGTTTGAAAATATTGTTTCGGTAGGAAATTTGTCAGTTGATTACATGCTGGAATTCCATACTGAATCAAATATATTGTTTAGAATAAAGCTATTATTATTATTAGGAGGCTTAGCATCACAGCACACTTTGATTTACGTTAGATGGCTGGAGGCAATCAATAGGGAGCTCTAGACGTAGGTTTCGTGCTTGTTTGCACGTTTCATTAAGGCAAATCTGCAGCCTTGAGAGAACTGCAGTCTCCTAAAGTCAGAAAAGTTGCTTTTGAGCTATTCAGGTTGGAACTGACTTTCAACAGAAATGAATTACATACACTGATTTCAAAAGATAGCCAAGGATTAACAAAACGCTTTTGCTTTTTTATGTTTCTATCGGAACTCAATGGTTAATTGGTGGAGCTATCATTTTCATTTTAGAAGTGACAACGAAAAGGTGAGTCATTAGAGTTCCTACAGAAGAACTTTAATGGCTTATTCTAATCACCTAGGATTTTATCGGTTTATTATTTACTATCTACAAACGTATTCTGTTGGATCGCAAGCAACTTCAGTTTTTCTTGCAATCGGTATCTTTTAGCATTGTTAGGATGTAACAAGTATCATACTTAGTTAATGGTGCCTTTACACAGTAAACTACTTTAGCTGAAACAAAGTAATAATGCAACCTCATGATACTACCTGACTTCCTAAATCTTAGTAAAGTGTGTCCGAACTCAACCTCACGACTGACGGACGTATTGCAATATTTTCGTACACTTCAGTTTAACAAAAAAGATTAAATCTTAATAAAAGATAGTGCTCATCTTACCAGCATTATCCTCCAGATAAGAAAAATTTGAGCAATTATAGCATTCTTGGAGGAATTTCATAGCCTTTTTGAATTTCATCATTCACTGGCATGTTTGTCAACTGTGTAGACAGCTGGTCATCAACTCCGCTAGAATTAAATGCGAATCAATGCAGTACAACAAATGCACAAGCGTAAGGTATATTATTATGTATTGCCGTACAAACAGAGAATAAATTATGCAGGGTAATAACTACATGAATTATCTTTATTATTTGGTTTGTATAAGCACATAAACTTTATCACCATCACTACTATAGTAATAACAGCAGCATAACGAAAATTATAACTCGAAATAATGACGAAATCCATTGTATTGTCCATCCAACAATAGATAACTCAGGGTCAATAATCATTATTCAGATGCTTGCTATAACATGAAATGAGTGGTTGCTTTAATAACCTTATTGAATGCGAACACCACTATTCATCGCACTGTTTACAGTCTCAACATTTAGGTTTGAAATCATGGTACAATATAACTGATAATTATACATAATAAAACTGAATTAAAATGAATTAGGGAACATTAATAACACTTCAATACACTTACATTTCCTTTGTTTGAGCAATGGGATTTTCATTCAAACCTTCATATTGATTTCTTATCATATTATTACAGTAAGACGTTAATTCCAGTTTTGTATTCATTATATAGCTCATTAAACGTAAGTAATCTGCTCGATAACATGCATCAGCCTTTTGAGTGGTAAACTGATTATTATTATTATAACTACTACCACTATTGTTGTTGTTATTAGTATTACTAGTGAAAAATGAATTGGTTGACTGGTTTGAAAGTGATGATAATGTGATTGGTGATCTCAGTATTAATTGTTCACTATTCACCTTGCTGTCACAAACCAGTTTTCTGTCTTCTGTGCTACAAATTTTTATTTTATTGTTAGAAAAAATGTATTATAAAGTCTGTGTACAGTCTGTTAAATACGAAAATTAAAAAATTACAAGCATATAATAATTATACCAGTAAGTTTGGATATAATCCCAGAGTTTATACTGGTTGATGACTGAAGACGAGATGAAAATCTGGACCGCGGCCGAACTGGAACCAGCGACCACGGAGTTATCGACCCGGTCCTCTAACAACTGAACTATGGGGTCCGACTGCTGACCAGAATTTTATTTCTCTCCAATCACCAGGGGTTTTTTGCCAGACTACCATATGGATTTTTAATTATAAGACCTATGACTTAACAACAGTTCTATGTGTGTAACTGTAATTATCGCTCATTGTGTACTACAGTTTAGCACCGACAAACTTCAGTTGACAGAAGTGATCTGTTTCCAACAACTGGTACAAACTCATATGCATTCTTCTAGTGCATGAACGTCAGGATCCTTCAGCGTATTATAGATAATCAAGATCTCTGCTTTGAGAAGCAGGAATCTGGGAAGATTTGTATGAATTCGCTGGATAACCTCACAATCGTTATTTGAATTACTTCATTTTCTCACCAAAAAAGTCATTGTGTCATATGAAATTCTAAGTCGTGTTAAGCTCAGATTTTTCTACTTTTGACATGATATATTCTACTAGTAGTGTCCCCAATACGGATCTATTTGCTAACTTATGAATTCATTTGTAAACTTATTTAATAAAGTTAATTTGAACATTAAATTAACGTTGAGATGCACTGTATTTCGGTGTTAGATTTTGAGGGTTCATCAGCAGAAAGCCCTTACTTTAGTGGACATGTTGCCGTATTGATCGACATACTGGCCAGGTGAAAATAATGCATTTGAAAAAAGGCTCTAAATATGTTTCTGAGTTTTGCAAACCGACAATATCGGAAAAGTAAGCTACGAAGACTTGAATTGCTAAACAGACAATAATTATACATTGAAGTAAACCATTTTCTACTTATTATTCATTTTACCTAAAAACCAATAGGATAATTTTTAATATGATTAGACTTACCTGTTTGAAAAGGATTGTATCTCCGCAAGTATGTCCGATTTGAACATATTGATTCCCCATAGTTTATCTGATTTAGGTTGATCAGTAACTGAAGCTAAACAGTTTGAACTGCCAGCCTGGCTCCCGATCAATTTCGCTAAAGTACGAGGAAAAAAGTAAATTTATTAACTCATTGTACCTATGTGACAAATGTGAATGCATTTGAATGCGTTGCGCGTTCATTAATGAAGTGATTCGGTTGTAAACTTCTATATATCTAGCATCCGATTACTAACAACAGCGGAATTTTATCTAGAAATATTAATCTTTTTTGTATTTTACAGTTATTGAGCATTACAACTTTAATCTCTAATATCTATAACTCTTGAACCCGTGCAACAAGACCAATACAGAAACTTTAAACAGTTCGGGCAACCTCAGTCGAGCGAAAATGAACAATTGTATTTAAAGTAGTATATTCACACTGATATTTCAAGAGATAACCAATCAGACTGCAATGCTGGTCACAGTAGCATAGATCACAGATGACCGATGAGAATACTGTGACGTGACTAAATCGTCACATTCGAACAAGTAATTTATATGAAATTCAATTGCGACGCAGAAAAAATAACCTGGTTAAGCATTCCTAATCATACCAAATCGATACTTCCTAAGCTTGGTTTTGCTGAAGTTCTGAATTAAGGTAATGTTCGCCTTGATGGCGAGAAATGGGAAGTAGGTTAATTAAGTTATCAAAAGAACAGTGAACAAATTGAAATGACTTTTTAAAGCCATTCCAGCAACTAATGAAATAGCCAGTTGGTTTTTTTATTTATTTTATAGAAAGCTACCTCGCCAGCCAAAATAACGAAATTTGAATAGTTGTTGCCTGGGTCTTTAAAGGCAACCCTGGCAACAATCAAACTGACCAACCAGGCTTCTCCATTTCGGCTGGAAAGGCAAGTTTTCATAAAACACAGAAACAAACATCAAAACTACAATTTTTGTTCTTCCTGCCTACTGCCGAGTAAAAGCTTTAGTTATTACCGGCTGTTAATACTAGAGTTTGTGTATTAAAAAACAGAACAGAAGACGTATAGAAAAGCTTCATTGTTACATTTTCTAATTGCCATATAATTTAGCATTGTAAATAAATTGTTTTTTGCATAACTTAAGTGTTGATATCATTTTCCTGTACCAATCGGGAACTGGACTTTTGAGATGTGCACAATAATCTATACAACATAACACCAAATACGATGTATCATAACGCTGGTTGTCTTACTTGGAACAAAATCAGTGAAATTTGGCCAGCATAGAGAATCAAATAATTTAAATATTCCTCACCATGCAGCAACTGACTGACGTCCTTATTATTCTCGTTTGGTGTTGTTGCTGCCCGCTGTTATAGAATGACTTAACGTCTAATCATAAATAGATCCCATCATTTGGTAAGGAAACCTCCACACCAATATTGTTTGTCAGCTTCATCTTAGGATCAAGTCAATAACTTGTAGGTCCTTTAAGCATATAGCTAAAGTTCAGGAAAATATTGCACACAACATATGTATGTCTTTGCGTTTACATGGCTTTCCTACGAGTGCAATGAATTTTGAAAACGCACCCGTTGTCATCTGCATTCGAGTGTTTGGAAGTCACCGTTTCTGTATATTATTTAACTATTCGCGACTGAACCTATTAATTCAATACGGTTTTCTACTCATCTGTCTACCTTTTACCAACAAAAATCTATTCAGAATTATAAATCGCGAAATTGTACACAAAATGAAGGACATTGAGCTGTTTCCTAAATTTTCTTAGCATATGGTTTGCGGAAAAGCAATCACTTTTTCATGGTTTAGTAAGAGTGACCTTCAAGACCATTCAATGAATCACTGAACCAGCTGGGTTTCTGTATTTTGTCTGGAAAATTAGTCTTGTTCACAGAATTAAGAAATCTAACTGGTGATTTCACAGTCACTCGTAAATAAATAAACCATCATCACACGCACTACGTAGAGGAAAAAAAATTATTTCCTGTCCTCTAAAAGAAATAATATAAGTTAGGTGAAGCATTCACTCGGAAAAGTTCACGGAATCAATTTCGATCCCATAGACTGAGCATACCGTGTAAAAGTAGTGTGAATTCACTTGTTGTGCGTCTTCAGTGTCACAAGTGAACTGAAAATCATTGATAATGTCCAATAAGGCACCTACAGATTTCACACTTAACAATACAACTCAATGAATAAAAAGAAATGCCGCAACAAATTTCGTCTGTAATATAAAATTCAGTTGTTCAAAATTGAACACTAACCTTATAGACTGTCTAGATATACTTTCAAACAAACTTCATCAAACAGCAACATCATAAATTTTCATTGATATACATAGAGAACGGATATAGTTGCAGCCAAAATTTGCTGTTAATCAGATTCTTTCGAGAGTTCGAGAATTTTTCTCACCAACAAGCGTAAATGTCCGGTTGGTTAACCAATCCTTTAAGTTGAATTTTAGGTTTTCATGTAAACAGAACCCAACAACAAGAACATCAGCGGAACTGTTGTTACACATATACTTCAGCTTGTATAAAAGTCTCCAGTAATCCTAACATCAAGTCAAGTTTGAGGTCAAGAAAGTTTACAATAATATGTGACAAGTATTTAATTCATGTTTCTAGTCTTGTTTCAAAGTAAAGTAGATAACTTTAAAAAAATTTGTATTAACTGATTTCCATATATTTCCGACAACTAACAAAGATTACAGAAATACATGAATATGTACATAAGCAGTATGATTATTTTCATGAAACTATATTGTCATCATAATATATTCCAATCATGTTAATAATAATTACAAGAACACAAATATAGACAATAATAAAACTTACAATGATATAACAATAACCTTCCAATTAACCGACATACGAAATAAAGCGAACAAATATTTTTCTCTGTTGTCCTGATTACAACAGACTAAAATGAATTAGGCCAAAATATTTCACAAACCAATAAAAAAAAGTCAAAAAAACAGATGGTATTCACAAGTCTCATAAATAAACTGGATTCATTACGAATTTTAAACGACATGCGGTGAAAATAATATTCCACACAGAAAAAAAAACTGACGAAAATATTTAAAACCATCACACAAAATAACCAGCGAATAAATTCAAAAAAGCAATGTAAATCGACAGACACATGGAAGCTGATAGAGCAGGCAGAGAAAGATGGTGAAGCAGAAGATAAAACAGTGCTGTGCAGTGCAGGGATGAACAATGAAAAAAAGAACTGAACACAACCTACAAAACACTACACTGGACAAAGAAGTGAAGAAGAGTGCATAGAAAGACAAAAGACACTTCTACGACACACTGGAAAGTGAAGCAGAACAGGCTGCAGGTAGGAGTGAACTGACAACACTATATCAAATAATCAGGTTATTATCTGGGAGGGAAGAGATCAACACAACACAACACAGATGAAACCAATGAAAGATAGTGAAGGAAAGCTAGTAAGCAAAGAGGAGAAACTAAGGAAACGATGGACTGACCACTTCAAAAAGCTGTTGATACGACCACCACCATCTGCAACTCGTCCAGAAATACCACCAACAGCCCAACCACAGAACTATCAGTGAACACAAACCCTCCGACAAAAGCAGAAATGAAGTCCTGAACACCATAAAGTTACTGAAATGCGGGAAAGCAGCAGGACCAGATGGAATTCCTCCGGAAGCACTGAAAACAGGCACAGAGACATCAGCAGTCGACATGCTCACACCACACCACTACTTCAGAAGGTTTGGAAGGAAGGCAGGAGAGAAACCTGAGGACTGTAAGAAGGGCTACCTTGTCAAACTTCCAAAGAAGGATGACCTAAGTCTTTGCAGGAAGAAGAACTGGTGCGGAATCATGCTTCTGTCCATGTCCACCTCAAGCAAAATACTAAGCTGCATCATCCTGGAGAGATCAAAAAATGCTCTCAACTCGAAATCACGACCAGAACAGGCTGGCTAGCTTCCAGAAGAACAAGTCATGTGCGGATCAAATCACATTACTACGCTACGCATCATCATAGAACAGAGCATAGAATGGCAGTCAACTCAAATCAATCTCAACTTCATCGATTTTGAAAAGGCCTTCGATAGCGTCGACCGAGAAGTAATTTGGCAGGCAGCTGCTTCAACACTACGGTTTTAGTGCCATAAACCTTTATCAATCTCATTCAACAACTATATGAGAACGTCATATGCCACGGGATTCACAATGCGAATCTCAGTGACCGATGGAAGGACCCAAGAAGATTTGGATTTCGCCACTGATGATGATGATTCATGTCTAAGGTCACACAAGCTTGAAGATCTAAAGGCGAAAAGCAACAAGTTGATAGAAGCGGCAGGGCAGCTAAGACAGGACTTCCTTCAGGTGAGCGTAGAGAAGACAGAGGTGATGAAGATACCCAACCAACAACAGCATCTACAACAAGCACCAATCACCATCAACGGGAGAAATCTAAACGAAGTAATCTCTTTCACCTACCTACCTAGCCTAGGCAGCATCGTTTCAACTACAGTTGGCGGCACATATTTGGACGTCAAAGCAAGGATCGGAAAGACAGCAGGACAGGCCTTCCTTCATTAGTCTGAAATCAGTGTAGAGATCTAATGCACCACACTGCACTCCACTCAGCATAAAGCGTGAACAACAGCCGAATTTTTAACACTAATTCACGCAAGCAAGTCAGTGCTTCCATGTGATGGTTGAGAGATTTGGAGCGTCACGAAAAGCATTTCCAACGAACTACAGACATACATCATCAACAGATTCCGCCTGCACTCACTCGATACTGACACTGAGGATCAGATGGCCAGAATAATGAGAATAAGCAATAGGGAACTCACTCCTGTTGGCAACGAACCAACTAAGAACCTATAGCCCAACAAATATGCAGAAGAAAGTGGAGATGGATTGGGCATCCACCGGGAAGACTGATTGCGGACATCACGCACCAGGGCAAGCCAGTCCCTCGAGTGGAACCTCAAGGGGGAACGACGAGTTGGGCGTCCCAGCTGAGGGTGACATGGAGGAGATGGTGTGAGGAAGAAATGAGAGCTTGTGGGCTGTCGTGGAGCCAGGTTAAAAAGACGGCAGAGGGCAGAGCGAAATGGAGATGTGCTACTGAAGCCCTATGTTCCACTAGGAACCCAAAGGATGAATAATAATAATATCCGATCCAATCTACGGCACAATAATTTTTAAATAAATTGGTCAGATTTTAGTGCTTAAAATAATTTATCTTAGTCAGCTGACTACATTAGAGTACTTACCCACTTGCGCATCTGAGATTCTAATTAACTGAGTGACCACCAGATGTTTGAGTGGTTTCAAAGTAATTGGTTTATTCAGAGCGTATATCCCGTGTGACACACTATCCTCGAAGTGAAGTACATGCTGGAATGCAAGATTTCATGTTTGTCCTTACTAAAAAAGCAACAGTCTAAAAAGAATATCCTTATCAAGAATCCTCTTCATGCCCTACAATTATAGGATGAATTTGCACGGCGTAAAAACAAGCCATATTATGAGTGGGGAGTTACATCTTGAAAATAGAGTGAGATCTAGGGGTTGTAAGGAAATCGATTTATATTTTTTTAAATTAGTCAATGTTAGGATGATACATATATAGAAGAATGATATGATGGTGAATAAAAAGATAACGAATAAGATGGCAGGAATGGCCTTTAGTTATCTGAAGGCCAAGGGAGAAATAATGCTTGGACATGTTCTTTGTGAGTTCAGACTTGACCAATCTTATTGCGACAGCCTTTGCCATGTGGAGCAGGCGTTGGCGAGCTACACATAGTTTCGTTTTTGGAACACGATGAATGACATTGAAAGCTTTATTAGCATCTGAGAAGGTGCGTATACTGTGCCTTAGACGTTAGTTTTCTATATATGGTTCTCAGTATAGAGCCATTTTCTTTTCTTGTCATTAGCACATCAAGAAAATGTATCGAATCATTGATTTCATTTTCGTATGTAAAATGAATTGGTGGATGAGCACTGTTGAAATGGTTTGCAATGGAATTAATACATATGCACCTATCAAAGACTAAAAAAGTATCATCCATGTATCGATAGTACAACTCCATATTAGCAATTTGATCTTTCAATGGACCATTTTCCATTTTTGCCATAAATATGTCTGCAAATATTGGTCCCAATGGAGATCCCATAGATGAACTGGACATTCATTGTACATTTTAGTAGTAGTTCTTTCAAATTCTTAATCGGAATACCAGTGTCTAATTTTCTTTCCAATAATTATTCACAAACATAATCAATGGTTTCCATTAGAGAGACATTAGTAAACAAAGATGTGACATCTAGGGATCACATGCATTTGTTTAAAACATTCAAGTTTTTTTCTGTCTACAAACTGGAAGGTATCATTCACGCTGTATTTTGTTAACTGGTAACGCAAAGGTTGAAGTGATCGTACTAGCCATTTAGCGATAGCATAGTAAGGCGAGTTGGTCATGTCTAGGATAAAGCAAAGAGGCACACCAGGTTTGTGTAGACCATACATCCGTCGAATCGTAAGGCCTATAGGCTTCAAATTTTCAAATAAGGTTGATGGAATGTCACCGTCATTCAATTTCTTGAGTCAGACGATCAGGTCTTTTTTCTGCTTTTTTGGTTAGATCTTTCGTTGACTTTAGTTTCTGAAATTTGGTTTCGTTTTGCAATATTAAATCCATTTTGAGTACATAATCAACTTCTTCCATAATTACGACTCCAGCTCCCTTATCAGGCCTTGTGATGATGATGTTCTGATAATTTCTGAGCCTTTTGATAGCCTCTTGATGTTCCCTAGTCAATATGCCTCGAGTTATTTTATTGTTTTAATTCTTATAGCAGTAGTTCACTAGGACGGATTTAAATCTTTCAAACTCTGAACTAGATGATGCAACCAAATCAGCTGTTTGTGTGAATAGATGCTAGAAATGTACATTTGTATTGATTTGGTTAATTTGCTTGAGAACGTAACAAAACTTAGTCCTAAGGGATAATACTTCAGTTTGTAATTTTTCGAGTAAACGGCTAGAATAATTATGAACATACTTCTCTGGGTATTTTGGAAATTTACATTGGGGAACTTCACTTTTTAAACTCCTCAGTAGTAATATTCCTTTCTTAGAGAACTTGGATTGTGCAATTTGATTCATGTATTCAATAAATTTGAGTCTCTACTCTTCTGGTATATCTAGGATTGCATAATCTCTTTGCGACATATTTGATTTGAATTCGCTTACATGTCACTGAATTGATTCAAGGTGGTTTTGTTGAATTCTGTTTTCAAGATTTCACGTCGGTTCGGATTCTATTCCTTCCTAAGGACTTTCAGTAAATTCTCGGACACTGATTCTTCCTAATACAATCTTTGACGCAATAAACTTGTATTCCAGATTCAACGAGTCTTATGTTCAGTTTCAGGAACTATTTCAATAACTAAAACACAACCTTCTTGAACATCTCATTTCATGCACGATCCAGCGCAGTAGAGCCCAGTCGACCAAAAACAGAAAGACCATCGGCGATAGTAAGCGGCAGCCTTGTCTTTCACCTGCCTTCACTTCTAAGGCGCCACTGAGATTAGCATTGTGAATCCCGTGGCATATGACGTTCTCATATAGTTGTTGAATGAGATTGATAAAGGTTTATGGCACTAAAACCGTAGTGTTGAAGCAGCTGCCTGCCAAATTACTTCTCGGTCGACGCTATCGAAGGCCTTTTCAAAATCGATGAAGTTGAGATTGATTTGAGTTGACTGCCATTCTATGCTCTGTTCTATGATGATGCGTAGCGTAGTAATGTGATTTGATCCGCACATGACTTGTTCTTCTGGAAGCTAGCCAGCCTGTTCTGGTCGTGATTTCGAGTTGAGAGCATTTTTTGATCTCTCCAGGATGA